TTGGGTAACTTGTATTTCTCTAAAAATGCATCCATTTCCGCCAGATTTTCTTCCTTTAGAGAGTATAGCTTTTGAAAGTAGTCTGTTAGAATTGTTTGGATATCTTGGGTACGTGTTGTGATGTTTCCCGTGGCATCCCTAATCCTATTAATATGGGTTTCCTCTCTTCTTTTTTTAATTAATCTTGCCAACGGGCCATCAATTTTGTTTATTTTTTCAAAGAACCAGCTTTTTGTTTGGTTTATTTTGGTTATGGTTTTCTGATTTTCTAATTGGTTAATCTCTGCTCTCAATTTGGTTATCTGGCTTCGTCTAGTAGCTTTAGGTCCCATTTTTTCTTGTTTTTCTAGCTGTTTTAGTTGCAACATGAGATTATTTACTTGGTCTGTCTCCATTCTCTTGATGTGGGCACTGAGGGCAATAAATTTGCCCCTCAGGACTGCTTTTGCTGTGTCCCACAAGTTTCTTTGTGAGGTGTTTTCATTTTCATTGAGTTCTAGGAAATGCTTTATTTCTTCTCTGATCTCTTCTGTTACCCAGGCCTTGTTAAGGAGTGTGCTGTTCAATTTCCATGTATTAGAGAAATTTCTGCGGTATGCTTTGTTATTGAGAGCTAGCTTGATTCCACTGTGGTCAGATAGGATACAGGGGATTATGTCGATCCCTTTGTATTTGCTTAAGTTCCTTGAATGAACTATGATATGGTCTATTTTGGAGAAAGTTCCATGAGCTGCTGAGAAGAATGTGTACTGTGTTGTTTTAGGGTGAAATACTCGGTAGATGTCAGTTAATTCCGCTTGAAGTATGGCCTCACTTAATTCGGTAGCTTCTTTGCCAATCCTCTGGTTGGTAGACCTGTCCTTTGGTGAGAGTGGCGTGTTAAAGTCTCCTAGTATTATCGTATTGGGATCTATTTTATTCTGTAAGTTTGAGAGCATTTGTTTAACATATCTGGGTGCACCGATATTTGGGGCATATAAGTTGATGATGGTTATATCCTCCTCTTGGATTGTTCCCTTTATTAATATGTAATGTCCGTCCTTGTCTTTCTGTACTGATTTTAATGAAAAGTTTATTTTGTCAGATATCAGGATAGCTACACCTGCTTTCTTATTGGGGGAATTTGATTGGTAGATCCTTTTCCACCCCTTCACTCTGAGTTTGTTTGTATGTTTGGCTGAGAGGTGGGTCTCCTGAAGGCAACAGATGGATGGGTCTTGTTTTCTGATCCAGTCCTCAGTTCGTTTTCTTTTAATTGGCGAATTCAGCCCATTTATATTAAGAGAAAGTATAGAGAGATGCATTGTTGTCCCTGCCATTCCGTTTTCCTAAGTTTTTCTTCTTTCCTTTCCTCCTGTGCTTGCTCAGTTAGACTTTGAGTAATGCCTGTTTGGGGCAGGTCCCAGTTCCTGGTTGCTTTCTTCAGGTTGTGTCCCCCCTCTTAGAATTCTTTGTAATGCTGGCTTAATGTTTATGTATTCATTTAGTTTTTCTTTGCTATTAAAAGTTTTCAGTTCTCCATCGAATGTGAATGCTAGCTTTGCCGGGTATATCAGTCTGGGTTGGCAGTTATTGGCTCTCAGGGCTCGTATGGTGCTTTCCCAGGCTTTTCTTGCATTCATTGTTTGTGTGGAGAGATCTGCAGTGATTCTAATTTTTTTCCCGTTGTAGTATAGCTCCTTCTTCATTTTTGCTGCATGCAGGATTGTTTCCTTATTATTCAGATCCATCATTGTTACTATTATGTGCCTAGAAGTGTTTCTCCTGGGATCTTGCTTGTTGGGTGTTCGATAAGCTTTTGTGATGTAGTTAAGATGGTCGTTTTTGAGGTGGGGAAAATTTTCATTGACTATCTTGTTAAATAGGTGTTGCATTCCCTTGCTCTGGAATTCCTCACCTTCGTCCACTCCGATTATGCGAAGGTTAAATTTTTTAGCATTATCTGCTTGCTCTTGAATTTCCCTTTGGTTTAATTTGAGTGATTTTTCCATATCTGTCACTTTTTGGTCCAGTTGGTGTATTCTGTCTTCTGTATCTGACACTCTACCTTCCATTTCATTCACTCTGTTGACCGTGGCTTCTATTGTGGTTTGCATGATGGAAATGGATCCCTTTATGGATTCAATGTTGGTTCTCAGAGTACTGATCTCACCTCTCAATGAGGTGATATCAGTATGCATTACCTCTAATTTGGCGTTTATCTCACTTCTTACTGAGGTTTGTGCAGCTTCTATTTTTGCATCCAATTTTTGTTTGATATCCTGTATATCTTTTGATAGTTCATCCTTGTGCTCTTTCAATTTCTGATCCATTTCTCGCTTTATTTCTTGAGTCATTGCCTCCAGCAACCCTTGGATGTAGCTTTTGTCTTCCATTCCTGCTTTGCTCCCACTGGGGCTCTCCCCTGCGTGGCTGCTGGCTTTTGAGGTGAGCTTGCTGTCCTGGGTAGTGGTAAACCTTGTGATTTTTCTCTGTGATTTTCGCATGGGGGTTCAGGAGACTGCTCTTCAATCTTGTTTTGGTGTGTCTGTCTTTGCTTGGTTGCTGATTCTCTATTGGTAGAGAGAGTCTGTGTCTGATCTGGATTCTGTTGGGAGCCTATTTCCAGCTGCTATTCACTTAGGATTCTCAGCTCTCTGCTGTAGCAATTCCCGCCTTTGGAAGGGTTGAGCAGCCTAGACTGCTTGTGTTTGCTCCTGCGGGTGCTCTTGGGAAGATCAGATGCTCTGGATGCACTCTCCCAAATACTGGAGTCTGCTATGGGCTCCTGATGTGTTTTTGTTTGTTTTGGGCTGGTTGTGGGCTTGAACTCTAGGTTTGGGTGCTGTCCCTCAGCTCTTCAGCTCAGGGCTGGCACCCTACCATTTGAGCCACAGCCCCACTTCTGACCCTTTTTGCTTTGTTCAGGCGCCGGTCCCCTGGCCTGGTTCCGGCCCCAGCCTGGAGCGCGCTCGTTAGGCCTGTGCTAATGTGTATACCACCTTGGTTATGCAGCCTGGAGGACACAGTTCAAATTTCTTCTACTGTTGGTAGTCTTGACCCAGGGGCACTGTTCCTGGCTTGAGCATTTAAGCTCCCTTCCCGGGGCGCTCTTGCTCTGGCCTGGCCAGCAGAGTGTGCTCCACCGGCTGGTGGGGCTCTCGAACAGTTCCCAGTTTTAGTGGGTCCTGTGGTCCGGGTGTTGGGGTAGGGAGTCTAGGTCAGGGTCTGGGATTCCCTCCAGCTCTGGTCTCCCTTGATGGATTCCCTGTCCCCTGATGGGTACTCACCCTGTAGGTCGTCAGTTGTTGTTGCAGTCCGTCAGTTGTTGTTGCAGTCCGAGTTCAGTTGGGGTGGTTGCGGGCTGGGTTGGGCGGCCCCCCGCCGGGTCGTTGCGATCGCGACAGGTCCCTTTGTGGCGCTGCTGGTGCCGGGCGGCTTTGGCGGGATGGAGCCTCTCCGCTCCGGTGGAGAGTGATGGGTGGGGTGGGATCCTCCTGGAGACTCCCGGCTGGTAGGTTTCTCTGTTCCTGGCGATCCGCTGTTCTGCAATCCGGTACCTGGTGATCTGCAAGCAGCCCCCTGTGTCTCTGTGGCTCCGGCAGCCCCCGCCGGGCCGGCTGGCCGGCGGCTTGGCGCACTGCCGCGCGGCCAGTAAAGGTTGGGGGAGGGGTCTTCGCTCTTCTCTGTTCTGAAATTCTTCTTTTCCTCTCTTTCTTTTTTTGTTATTTTCCACCTCTGGTTTTTCTCTGAGTGTTCGTCTTTTTGTTGTTGTCGGTCTCTTGGGGAGATTAAAGGTTGGAACTCGAACTCTCTTTTTGGTTGGAGAGAGCTGTGGCGTTTCCCTACTGCCCCGTCGCCATCTTGAGAACTCAGCCCTCTAATAGTTTTATTATAGTATTTATCAGTTTGTTGATTGACTAGCTTGTAGAATGTATCTTTTTTAGTATTTCAAAGTAATATCACATAAAAGGTTAGGGTGAGAGTACCAAGGGAAAGAGCAGAAATCACCAATTCTCTGCTCGTTATTAGTCCACATCTTTTCATTCCAGTCTTTTAGGTGGTGAACATGTTGGGGTGGGACTTGAGAATTCCTCTCAGAGACAGTGAGGCCCACAATTCTAGGTAGTCCGGTTACACTATGACCACTGAGACAGCCTAAGCTGCGCCATATCTTTTTAATGATCTGCTGAAGCCAGAGGCATTTTAGCTTTTACTTCCTCAGTCCTGCTTACATTTCTGCTTCTCTAATGGCTACAGCTGAGGAGCTGTAAATTAACAGCCAGAAGAGCTGAGCACTAGTTTGAAGTCTCTTAGAGACTAAGTGAGATCATCTGAGAATCAGCTATTAGACTATATAAGCACAAGAACAGTACCAAAAGTCATCTCCTTTCTGCTTGTTTCCCTTATATTAATTATTCCTTTAAGATCATTAAAAGAGGTGTTGGTTTTGTTTGGTTCAGTTTCCTGATGCTTTTAAGTACCCTGTAATCTGCATCAGCCACTGGCCAATTCACCCAAGGGGGGAGAAAAAATGTAAGAACATAGTGTCCTTTCTAACCTTCTGACTCAAATCTGTTAGGATAAATCTTCTGGCCTTCCCTTTGCAGCCAGAATGTCCACTGTTCAGCCCTTCAGTATTTCTGTACAGAACTAAAGAAGCAACTACAGGGCTGGGAAGGTGGCTCAGTGGTAGAGTGCTTGCCTTGCAAGCCAGAGGCCCTGGGTTCAATTCCTCAGCACCACATAAGCAAAAAGAAAAAAGCCGGAAGTGGCGCTGCGGCTCAAGTGGTAGAGCGCTAGCCTTGAGCTGAAGAGCTGAGGGACAGCGCCCAGGCCCAGAGTTCAGGCCTCATGTCCGGACCCAAAAAAAAGAAAAAAAAAATAAAGAAGCAACTACTAATTCTGCTTAAGATGTCCCAAAGCTAAAACTTTGTGACATTTCTCCAGAACGCTGAAGAGAAGGTTGGCATACACAATGTTCTTGGTTTCTACTATTTATTTGTATTTCTCTTCTCTAGGAGTCTACTTTGACTGCTGTGTCAGACAGATTAAGTTTGTGGACTTCTGTGGGAAGTACCGCCTCCCACTCATGCACTACTTGTGCTCTCCTGAGTGCTCCTCCCCCTGCAGCTCTGCCTCGCACAGCTCCACATCCCAGAGTGAGTCTGACTCCGAGGACGAAGCCAGCGTTGCTGCACACAGAATGCAGAAAGTTCTTCTTGGTTGAGCACAGTCATGGAGCCTGTGAAATAATAAAAAGCTGAGCAGAGAAACAGCTTGAAAAAACTTTGTTGTCCTCATCAAGAAGCGTACATGAAAGAAGAGTTTATATTCCATCTGCCTGTCCAGCTAGAATGAGTCCAGTTCCATGTTTAGATAGACTTCACTCTTAATGACAGTTTGCAGTGTTCACAGCAGGATGGTACATTCTGAAGAGCAGCCTGGGACCAGCTGCTGCTGCTGAGATGAGGAAAGTGAGCAATCATCAAGGCTTTGGCAGTGGGTTGAACACTAGACCACAGAAGGAGCCTTCTCCTTATATTACTCATTTCTACATGACAGACCCATTCAAATGAACCCACAGGTAGTTACATAGGACTTAAGCCTTTCTGACCAAATAACTGCTAAAGAATATACCTTTTAAGTGGGATATTGAAACTTTTCTTTTGCTTTGTTCTATATGATAATGATTATTAATCTATATAGTCTAGCAATGACTGTTAAAGTGCCTTAATCATTCCAATGACATGGAATTTTATGCAAGAAATAATGCCAGAGCAACCTAAAACCTGACATACAGAACCCTTAAAAAAATGCTTTAACAACTCAGTGAATCACACCGAGCCCACCGCCATCTTAACTTCTTTTTTGGTTTCAACATAGCAGTGATCCCTCTTCAAAAAAAAAATTTCTTAAATTATCTTTAAGTACTTGTACAAAGGGATTTCAATTCAACATGTCAGTTTATGAGTACAAAGCAGCAGTGAACCTGCTTGAACCAGTCACTTTATACTTAATGGGAGACCACAATCTTAATCAATCTGTTTATCATAAGACAGATAATATATTTTGACAGAAAATTGTAGAGGACAAGCTAATTTGTGAGTGGGGGAAAGGTTAGAATTTGTAGCAGCCAAATATGACCCCCTTGCCTGTGCTATTATTCTAAACTGTACCTTTGAAATATTTCCAAGAAAAACGAGTATGGTTAGATAAACATGACAAGAAGGCCAAAGTTGAAAGATTCTAAAACTGGTTTAACAATGGAACACTTGGAAACTAAAGTACTGATAAATAGCAAAAATAAAGAAATACTGTTTATTATACCTTTAAAGTATAGGAGGAAAATAGCTCCGCAAATTATTGCCATTAGAAATTACCGAACTTTGATTAGCTAGTTTAATGTGCAATAGAATTGAACCGTAGTACAACTGTTAGTTGATATAAAGAACACAATGCATGTAAAATGATTAGACTAGAACCTATAATGGCATAAATGTACAGGTCAGATTGCATTAGAATGCCAGGTGACCTCTTATAGGCACAGTTAAGTTTCTGTATATATTATTTTTATTGTAGAATATCATAGAGGTAATTCAGGGTTTGTGTGTGTTTGTATGTTCATTCATGAAACATGAGAGTTTCATGACTGCAGTTGTGAGACGCTGCTATAGTGAGTCCCCTTACCTTCTCCTTGTTAAAGTGTAGTAAGATTTTTTTTTTTATTATTTAGAAATGTTCTGCCTATATCTATAGAAGTAATGATTATATTGTATATTGTAAACAACAAGTAACAGAGTCTTTGCTTACATCTTCCACTGAGCCATAGCAGGCTGCAGACTGAAATCATAAAAGGTAAAGGTTGCTTAAGCAGTGCCTACATCAAACCTAAAATGCTTATGTAAATCACTCAGATTGATAACACCAAGTTTTTCTGGCTTAAATGCTTCTAAATAACATTTTTTTCTGTGCTACTGAGATTTGACTGAGGACCTCATGCTTACTTGCTTGTCGCTTAGCTGGTTAAACAATGCTACCAATCTGGCTTTTTGCTGATTACTTGGAGGTGGAGTCTTGCAGACCTTTTCCTGCCTGTTCTGGCTTCAAACTGTGTTGCTCTGGATCTCAGCGTCATGAGTAGCTAGGATTGCAGCATAACACAATACGACCCAGCTTCTACTTCTTCATGGACTATCAGCTTGACCTAAGTAATAGCTTGAGTAATCTTTTAAGAATTAGTTTTTGTAAAATAAATAGGTAAATATAGCACTTAGCCCTATGTACTCTTTCCAGCTTCCTAAGAAGGAGTATATTGCATTATCTTTAATAGAAATACATATAAGCAGACATAGTTTCTAACCTGTGCCATATAATGTAGATATATACTAATAGTGGATGTTCTGTCAACAAAAAGTTCATGGTAGTTCTTTACATGTTTTTAAAACGTAGGATCAGTGTGCAACTGTTTTTAATAACTTTGTATTTGTTTGGGAGGAATGTTAGAGATGAAATAGAGCCTTTGCTCATACAGGGCAAGCACTATTCCATTGAGCTCCAGCCCCAGCCTAACTTTGTTTTGATTTTTGTGTATTTGAGACAGGGTCTTGCTTGCAGGCTGGCCTAGAATTCTTTATGTAGCTCAGACTGTCCTTAACTGGTAATCTTCCTGTCTGTACCTCCCAAGTATTGGGATTACGGGCATATACCACCAAGTCCAGCCTGTCTGGTAACTTGTAATGAAATCTACACTTTAGTTGTTAGTTTTATATTTTATTTCTTATTTTTGATCTTCTACATGGATGCTAGTAATGTATAGGACTTTCCTTGTTATAGAAATATAGAAGATGAGATAGAAAGGATTTGATCCTCTAGAAACAAGATGATCCTGAGTCAGACAGCAGACATATATGTATTGAAATGGCAGTACTATTATCTGAAATAGAAAGGGGTGCTTTGTACAGTCATAGTCATGTTTACCCCTAGAATCCAAATTGAGTTAGAGACATAGTCCTACACATTTAGGAAACAGGAATGTTAGCTAATACGTTATTTGGTGCCAGGGACCGATTGACACAGGGACCAATTATGCTCAGTGTTCCCTTTATTTGAGTAATAACAAAGGTAGATCCTTTTGTTTTACTATGTTATCAAGAGTCTCATTATGAAGTACAGGCTGGCCTCAAACTTGCAATCTTCTTGTCTTTGCCTCCCAATTGCTGGGATTATAGGTGTGGGCCACCTCACTCAGCTTTGTATTTTACTTCCAAATGTGTTTTGGAGCTGTCTTGTTCTAAACATCTTGGTATTAACGTTTTTAAGTTGCTAACTTTAAAAATACATTTTAGACTCTATAACGAACATGAAAACATTTCTTGCGCTATAAAAACAAAGTCCACAGCCAGGAACTGGTGGCTCATGCTTGTAATCCTAACTACTCAGGTAGGTGAGATCTGAGGATTAAGGTTCAAAGCCAGCCTGGGCAGGAAAGGCTGTGAGACTCTTAACTTCAATAAACTACTCAGAAAAAGCTGGAAGTGATACTGTGGCTCCAGTAATAGAGTGCTAGCCATGAGTAAAATGAAGCCCACGGACAGTGCCCAGACCCTGAATTTAAGCTTAAAGGCCCGCACTCAAAAAAAAAAAAAAAAAAAAATCCACAGTAGTATAGAGTAATACTGCAAATCAGTTCTATTCAACATTGTAAATGTCAAAATGCTGATGCTGGAAGGTTAGATTTTGTTTGTTTGGTAGTTTTTTTCTGGTTCTGGGGTATAAGCCAAGGGCCTCATATACCCCAGCCCTTTTAGTTTGTGTGTTGTTTTTTGAGATAAGGCCTCACTCACCCTCACCTGAGTTGGCCTGAAATTTATAATCTTCTAGTCTATGCCACCCAGGTAGCTGGGATTACAGATGTATACCACTGAGCCTAGTTTAAAATAAGTCTTTAGCAACAAAGGGCAGAGAGAGAAGTCACACCCAAGGATATTCCTAAGCCAAGAAAGCCCTTTAAAGTAACTGAATTGTTTTATAAAGTTATTAAATGACCTACTATCATCTGAAAATCTTTATTACAATTATTTTATTGCCTTTATAACAGTTACTCAATACCTGCTACTGAGAGCTGGTCTTTATCTCTCAAATGAAGAGCCAGCAAGTGATAGATAGGATTTTCTTCCAGCCAACTTTGCTTCTGCAGGAAGAAAGAAGTACCTCATTAACCTAGAATTTGTGGTACAGCAGATAATCTTGGTTAATGTTTAGCTTTTCACTGTAGGAAAAAAAAAGTAAGCAAATACTGACAGTTTGATCTTTGAAAACTTTTTTAGCAGTACTTATTTACATATTAGAGAAATGAATGGTTATTTGCTAAATTTCAGATGATCTCATATAGGGAAAACTTTACCCTTTATAGTTCATACACAAAATTAGTTTAGCTATGCACAGTAAACTAGTTTAGTTAAAACCTAAATGATTAAGTAAAACCTAAACAATCCCCCATTCATCCAAAAGTAGAGATTTTATTATATCATAATATTACTCCTCATTTAATCCAAAGAGCTTTTAAATTTTGCTGGGTATTTAACCTCAGTAAAGGCTATTGTGTTGGCTTTTAGGCAGTATGGCCTATAATGCATAGTTCTAATTTCTTCTGCATAAAAGAAGCATACTTAACCATCACCTTCTCTATTTTAACACTAAATTCTATGTATCAACAGATTTAGTTTTTAACAAGTCATTTAATTTTGTGCTTTTTTATAGTTCTCATCTTTTAAAACATACCTATGTTGTTTGTGGTCAGAGGGTAAGAAGTGCCTTAAAACCTCTATTGACCCAGGATTGGGGAAACTAGAGGGAGAGCCTCATGGTCTCTGGCCTTTGACTTGAGTGAGAAAGACTGATCTTGAGAGATTTTTTTCCACCTGAAACAGGGCCTGTTGTATCAGTGTAGAACTTGTAGGGAGGTAACCTCAATACACTGCTACCGAAGGGCACTGTCATAAAGAACGGTACCTTGAAATAAAATGAGTGAAAGATGTTTCTTGGATTTTATTTCAAAAATGTGCCTGGTACCATAATAGGATAACAGCAATTTCTTTATATTACTCCCTTTATATAGCACATATATACCAACTCCACATATATAGCGCAAACGTAGCATCAGACGTAGATATATTGATTGGCACTGTGAGATTTAGCATGCTTTGTCACTGATTTTTTATTGTAGTATAGACTGAAAGAGGGTGTGTCTTCAATATTTTTACCTGTGAATACATTTTTAAAATCCTTTTCTTGGTTCTAAGTTTATTAAGAATTGAAGTAAAGTTTTGACTAATAAACACTGCACATTGT